TGCTGCACAGAATTTTCTTCTAATGAAACAATCTAAAAGAGAAAGAAAATGCTCAGAGACTTCCCCACAGCTTCATTTGCCAAATTGAAATGTTGGAAACAACCTCGAAGGAAAATGTTGACCAGACAGCCAAGACAAGGAAGGTCCATCACCTCCACATGGTGCATCCTCTCCAGGGGACCGCACAGCATCAGGAGACCACAGAACAACACAGGAAAACGCTTATAACAGTGTGAAAAGGAAAAGCAGGATGTGAAAGTATCTCTACTAGTATTACAATGATCTAAAAAAGGATGCCAAGGGCCAGAAGGAAACAGGAAAAAGTGAAAACAGCTGGCAGCAACTATTCTGATAGTGAGATTGTGGTGATTTCTTCCTCCAACACCCTTTTCCTATTTATTCTGGTTCTAAAATAGGGGAAAAAGGGAAGCATAAGTGTTTCTATGAGACATTAAATTTTTATCATAAACACAACACGGGCTGCCCTAAATCTGACATCATCTGACAACGTTCAACTAAGCACAGAGCAGTTTTAACCCAATACCCAGGTTACTCAAAGCCTTTGAGATGTGATGAGATAAACCTGCAGGAAGCATGACACAGTGAAAGACATCAACCAGAGTAACCTCTTTCTGTGTTTCATTTTATTAGGAGGTTGGGAAAGGAAGGAACCATCTATTAAATGATGTATTGTGATAGGAATGCTGCCTCAGGGTCAAGGCACAGCCCCTGGAGAGCACAGGCTCTGACTGAGGGCAGCAGTCTGCTCAGGGTCAGTTTGTAAAGAGAAGCCAGAAATCCAGACTTATTGTGCAATCTCCTTATTTTTAAACATTTTAAACAGTGGCAACTAATCCAAGTTTAAAAAAATACTGTGAGGACAAACAAAAGATCTGCAGGCTGGATGTGGCCTAATGGCTGCCAAAGGAATACTTTACCCTAAACTAGAGGATATGTTGACATTTGGAGTCAAGTGGCTACCAAGAAGATTCCATCTGGGGAAGTGTGTGTATAACTATGATGGGGAGAGATGAGAGGATCTCAGACTGATTTCCCTGCCATCTGAGAAGACAGCAAACACTGTATGATGTACCTGAACTGCATTCAGTCCCACAACTCACTCCTGCCTCACGACTCTGAGGTGGCATTTCATTCCATTTTGCACATGGGTCATTTGATGCTCTGGGGAATGCAGTTCTTGAATAATGAGAATGAGCAATCCCTTTTTTGTCTTCCTCAGCCCAGCAGCTCAGACACAGACACACACATTATCTGTGACAAAGCGGCTTTCCAGGCATCTCCTCAAGATCCTTTTGGAAGCCCAGGTTCCTGGTGATTCTGGGGCTGGATGTGACTGGAACTCTGCATTGCCATGCTATGTCAGAGACGCCAGTCCTGCCCGTTGCCTACCCTGCCGCCATGCTGTGGTTTTAGATGAGCTAATGGGCCTAAGCTGACAACACCCCCTCTAAAAACCCAGGCGTTACCCTTGCGCGGATTCAGGAGCTTTTGGTGCTAAAATCCACCATGACCCACATGAACAGAAGGAGCTATGTTACCTGGCCACAAAGCTGGCAGTCTTGTCGACGATATTCCTGACCTCTGGAGGAGGGTAAATAATCCCCACCACTGGCTTGGAAGGGGTAGAATCTTCCTTTGAAGATGCTTCTTCTTCTGTGGGCTGTGAAAAGAAGAAAAGGAAATAAGGTCTTCAAGTTCCTGGTTTGGGGCTGACCCCCACCGTTAGACTCCTCTAGGGTATCACTGAGAATATCGACTCTCTCCCATAGACTTCCCTTGATTAGGACCCGCTGCTCCAGAGGACTGGTTCTCTTAGCTGCACTGTGTTTGCATGGGACTCTCCCGGGGGACCAGTGAAAAGAGCAGCCTCCTTGGCTCCCATAAGCTCGACTGGCTCAGTAACACTGGGAATCTGCATTTTTACCAGTGCCCAGGTGATTCAGATGTGGAGGGGAACTGACCACATTCTGAAAAACCATGTTCCAGAATCCAGAAGGCCAGGTCTGTATCCCCATACCCCAGGATGCGCCTAGCACAGGATATTTAACAATTGTTTGCTAAATAAAGAAACAGGAAACTCCTTGCTGGCAGCTCCTTCTGCCTTGAATGTCCTTTCCTTCTGCATCCCTTCCATAGTCTGAACCACACTCAACGCTCAAATGTTTTGTGAAATTCCACTGGAATACTCAACGTTAATTGTCGCAGAAGTATCAATATTCTTTCCTCACTAGCTTCTTCTCCTTAGCAAAGGAAGGGTCAAATCTCTCATCTTAAGAGAAATAAAGTTTCGGGCTGGCCCTATGGCTTAGTGGTTAAGTGCACATGCTCCGCTACTGGCGGCCCCGGGTTCAGATCCCCGGCGCGCACCGATGCACCGCTTGTCCGGCCATACTGAGGCCGCGTTCCACATATAGCAACTAGAAGGATGTGCAACGGTGACATACAACTATCTACTGGGGCTTTGGGGAGAAAAAGGGAAAAAAAAGGAGAAAGACTGGCAATAGATGTTAGCTCAGGGCCAGTCTTAGCAAAAAGAGGAGGATTGGCATGGATGTTAGCTCAAGGCCGATCCTCGTCACAAAAAAAAAAGAAAGAAAAATCAAGTTTCTCCCCTGCCCTCACGTTCTTTTCTGCTGCTGCCTTCTCCCTCCCCCCTTTCCCCCCCAGCCCCGGAGCTAAACACCCTGAGTTCTCCCAGTCTTGCCATTCCCACTTCCTCACTTCCCATTTGGTCCTCATCCATTTCAACTGCTCTTGCCCAAGTCAAAAACTGACTACAGTGGTGATCTGGCTCTGTGACCAGTGACCACTCCTTCACAAAGTTCTCCACTCCTCAACTCCCACACCCTATTCTCACCTGTCTTTCCTTCTTGCTCACCATACGTTCCAAGTTTCCTGCCTGGCTCCTTTTCTTCACTTCCTGCCCTATAACATCGAGCATCCCCAGAATTCTGTTCTTGGTTCTCTTCATAGTATTCACACTGTCCTCAGTGAGGCACTCACAACCACATCCTCCATTTCCCCTACCACCTCTAATCCCATCCAAATTGACATCCCAGAGCTTTATCCAGCCAGACCCAGTTGACTCCTGGGCACTGTTATCTCTAACCTCTTTCCTGATGAATGGCCAACCATGTACCTGGTCACCCAGACCAGAAACTTGGGCCTCCTCTCCCTTCCTCAGCCTCTACAGTCAATAATAACATTTGTCAAGCACAGAATAGGTACCATATGCTTTCCTAAACACTTTATTATTATTTTTTAAAGATTTTATTTATTTATTTTCCCCCCAAAGCCCCAGTAGATAGTTGTATGTCATAGCTGCACGTCCTTCTAGTTCATGTATGTGGGACACAGCCTCAGCATGGCCAGACAAGTGGTGCGTCGGTGCGCGCCCGGGATCCGAACCCAGGCCGCCAGCAGCGGAGCGCGCGCGCACTTAACCGCTAAGCCACGGGGCCGGCCCCCTAAGCAATTTAAATATATTAACTCTTATAACCCTCATGAGAGCCCCAGAAGGTAAGTCAGTCCTCTTATTATCCTCATTTTACAGATGACAAAACTGAGGAATGGAGAGCTTAACTGCCCTCAATGACAGAACCAAATTTCCAACATCACTTTGGCTGGAGAGCCTGTACTATGAGCCATTTTGTGAAACGAACTTGCTCAGACCCTCTGCCTCATCACCCATCCTCAGCATTTTTTTTAATAAAGTGACTAATCCTCGGTCCTCCTAGCAATTCTCCACATCACTGCCTACCTAGCTGAATTTCTGAAACACAATGTCACTATCCAGCTTAATATCCTTGGTTTTCTCCCCGTTGTCTACTAGGCAAAGTTCAAATCCTGAGAATCCCATCTGCTGCCACCAGTTATCCAATGCTGTGCTTCAACCACACCTGTTTATTTACCCATGACCAGAGGGGCCATCTGATTCCTATCTTGGTATCTTTGCATTATTATTTGGTATTACCTTGTTTATTTTTCCCCAGTGACTGGGAAAACGCCAGGACACATGGGCACTTACATGTTTGTGGAAAGGGGACGGACCTCTTCTGTCATGTTCCCCACTGTATTCTGAACTCTAAGCAGTGGTTAGTATACAATATGTGCTCAATAAATGTTTGATGAATGATTAAAGAATGCTATTTCCCTTCCCCAACCACCTACCTGGTGAACTCTTATGCATCCTCCTAAAATCAATTTACCTCACTCCTGTGAGCTTCACCCACCTTAATCTCCTCTCTATCTCATCAAAGCCACGTTGATTAGATTACCATCTTACTTGAACCTGATACTTCTATTATAGGGCCAATCACACCATAACGCAATTATTTATGCACATCTTTCCTCCTCACCTGTTTGAGATCTTTTTAAGGACTGGCTGGAACTGTATCATTTACACTGGCGGGGCAATAAACATTTGTTGAGTATTCACGTACAGCTTCCCACTAGTCGGTGAGCTCTCTAAGGCAGAAATTGTACCTCATTCACTCCGGTAACGTCGGAGCCTGGCACCGAGTCTGGCTTAGAGTAAGCACCGAACAGATGCTGCAAATTAACGTTAAAAGATGTACCCTGCAGGCTGGGAAATTATAGAGATTACTGGGCAAAGGCTGGGGGCCGGCAACCCAAATGCAACAGAAGACCGGTGGATGGGCCGGATCAGTGCTTCTCAAACTCGAATGAATCACCCTGGAATCTTGTTAAAATGCAGATTCCTATTTAGAAGGTCTGGGGTGTAGACTTTGCAATTCTACTAAGCTCCCAGGTGATGCTGATGCTGCTGGTCCGCGGACCACACTTTGAGAACCACTGTTCTAGTGAGCTCGTTGCGCTACCGGAAAGCAGCGTAGGAAGCGCGCTGCCTCCTGGGACTTGCAGTCCCTCTAAGCCCTCCTCAGCCTTCCTGCAAAAGTGAGGAGCGCCCGCGCCAGAGGGAGGGCCCAGGCCTAGGCTCGGGCTGCCGGTAGAGGTGCGGGGGACGCGGTACCTGTTTGGGCTCGGTGGCCACCGGCGGCGGCGGGGGCACCGCCTGCACGGGTCCGGCCGGCATGACTGCGACGCTCAGGGCTGCCAGTCCGCCTCGGTGTAGGTGAGCGGTGCTCCGTCAAAAGAGTTTCCCCTCACCAACAGTACGACAAGCTCGCAAGATGGCGGCGACCGAACGAGTCGTAGCCGAGGAGGCAAGGCTGACGCACTTCCGGTCCCGCCCCTATTCCGTGGCGTCACTTCCGCCCCTTCCGCGCATGAGGCGACCCGCGCGAGACGCCGTTGCCATGGCAGCGGTCGGGGCGCCCGGCTCTGGTTTGTGGGAGATCCCAGGCGCGGCGGGCGCGCCGAGAGCAGTTCCATGAGCCCACCAGACACAGGGGCTGAGGCTGTGACGCCGGAGACTGGTGAGATGTTCCACATGGCAGACGCCCCCCGCACGCGCCCCCTCTCCTTTACTCCTCGGGTGGGTTCCTAGCTCCCTCCGACCCCGCCTTCTAAGGCCCCCGCTCCCTCCCATTGGCCTCTCTTTGGAGAGCCCCCCCCCTCGGGCCCGCCTCCTCAAAGCCCCACCTCCCTACTTCTTTAACCCTCTCTTCCGGTTCAGGCCCACCTCCCCCAGGTTCCTTTCCGGAGTCCGAATCCCTAATTTCCACTGGTCCCTTTTCCTGTGGGCGCGCCTTTTCTAGGTTCCACCTCCTGCCGTCCATAGTCCCGCCCTCAAGCCCCATGGACCATCTCAAATCAGGGCTGCTTCTTGAGGCTCCACCCCTCACTCCCACAGGTGCTCCTGCAGACCACTTCCTCCGCTTCCCCTGGCACACCTCGAATCCCACCTTTTTCACTTCCCCTCCTGATATCCTCTTCTCTCTGTCCCTTCTCCCCTCCCTCCCAACTCCGGAATGCGGGCCTTGCCTGGACTTCAATTTCCTCACCTGTGAAATGGGGGGATGATAGGAAAAAAATGGCCTCCTGTGACTCCTACCTGTTTCTCTCTCTCTTAGACACACACACACCCCATAGCTGGTTTATGTCATTGTTGTTATTATTAATGTAGAATAATAATGATAGCTAGGATTTATTGAACGTTTACCGTGAGCCAGCCCCTGTCCAAAGACTACGTGCATTATGTCATTTATTTCTTACAGCAACTTATTTACGGTTGAGGATAGTGAAGTTCGGAGTTGGTGGAGTGGGAATCCAAACCCAGGCCATTCTTACTCCTCTACTTGTGCAGTTACTTATTCCTTTGTGTTCAGTCAGTCCCTTCACTGTCCCCAGGGATCCAGGCAATTAGCAATCCTGAATCAGAGACTGACAACTGCCATATTGATGGTTTTAGAGTTTCCAAAGTGTTTTCATGGTGGTCACCTGGAATCTCAGCACACTGGCCGGGAGGTGGGCATAATCTTTACCAGAGAGGTAGGGTCTTAGGGCTCAGAAAGGGAAGGGGCTTGAATGTTGAACAGGAGTGGAGGAAAGATTCCTTACCTTCTCTGTGAATCAAAAGTCCACCTTGAGCTTGAGGGAACTGAGGAGAGGCAGAGTTAGCTGCTGTTCCTACCTCAGGCAGTGTTGGCTCAGTTAGGGCCATTGCCTGTGTGAGCTCGGGACCAGTGCAGGGCTGGCAGCTTCAGGCTGAGGGTTCCACTCAAGACCCAGGAATTACAGAGAAAGCTGTGTCAAATGCTCCTTCACTTGACACACACCTAAGTGGTTCTCAAACCATGCTTATATCTGCAAATCCCCAAAGTTCATAAGAAATGACATAAGGTAACGTTGGATATTTTTCAATGCTGTGTTTTCCTCTTGTATATTCTTGATTCTTTGGCATTTGCTGCTGCTTCTCAGAACTGGAATCTAACAGGAGTTGGCATCTCAGATGGCCCTAGATGGCCATAGTTATTTGAGGAACAGGTCAATGTTTCTTGGTGTCTTTGCAAGCAAGCGCTTGAGGTCCAGGTGCCACTTGAGTACAACTTCTCCCAGGGTAGAGTTTCTTGCTTTCTTTCTTTATTTCCTTCCTCCCATTCCAGGAAGGAAACTGGAATGTTTCAGTCTGTTGTTTTTTTTTGTTTGCTTCTGCCTCATTCCTTGGGGACATAAAATCTCACAGGTGGCAATATCTCATGAGAGGCAGTCACCAGGGCACCATATGTGTGCGGGATGTGGGCCTGGGTGTGTTTGTGTGTGTATTTGAGTGTTGTGGGACGGCTACTCATCGCCCTGTGGGTGGAACTGACAGAGCTGACACACTCAAGACTTGTCCACTCCAGAGACCCTCAGACATAGATGGTGGTTCCTGGCAGCTAGGGCTCTGTGTGCCTTGCTCTGTCCCTATTCTTTTTTTTTTTTTTTTTTTGATGAGGAAGATTAGCCCTGAGCTAACATCTGTTGCCAATCCTCCTCTTTTTGCCGAGGAAGATTGGCCCTGGGCTAACATCCATGCCCATCTTCCTCTACTTTTTTATATGTGGGACGCCTGCCACAACATGGCTTGATAAGCGGTGCGTATGTCTGTGCCTGGGATTCAAACCCACGAACCCCAGGCCACTGAAGCAGAATGCACAAACGTAACTGCTACGCCAGCGGGCTGGCCCCTCTGGCCCTATTCTTGCCATGGTGCCCAGCACGTAGTAGGTACTCAGTCACTGTTTGCTGAATGAACACATGAGATCTGAGCCTCTACACCTGCACTGTCTAGTCTGGTAACCACCAGCCTATGTGGTGGTGCATTTGAAAATGGTGGCTGGTCCAAATTGAGATGTGTTGTGTCAAATAGACACTGGATTTGAGACTTAATGCAAAAAAAGACTGTAAGAAAATCTCCTTGGGGGCCGTGGCTTAGCGGTTAAGTGCGCGCGCTCCGCTATTGGCGGCCCGGGTTTGGATCCTGGGCGCGCACTGGCGCACCGCTTGTCTGGCCATGCTGAGGCCGCGTCCCACATACAGCAACTAGAAGGATGTGCAACTATGACATACAACTATCTACTGGGGCTTTGGGGAAAAAAAGGAGGAGGATTGGCAATAGATGTTAGCTCAGAGCCGGTCTTCCTCAGCAAAAAAAGAGGAGGATTAGCATGGATGTTAGCTCAGGGCTGATCTTCCTCACAAAAAAAAAAAAAAGAAAAGAAAATCTTCTTGGGGCTGACCCGGTGGCACAGAGGTTAAGTGTGTGCGCTCCGCTTCGCTGGCCCCGGGAATGGCGGGTTTGGATCCCGGGCATGCACTGACGCACTGCTTGTCAAGCCATGCTGTGGCGGCGTCCTACATAAAGTAGAGGAAGATGGGCACAGATGTTAGCCCAGGGCCGATCTTCCTCAGCAAAAAAGAGGAGGATTGGCATTGGATGTTAGCTCAGGGCTGATCTTCCTCACCCAAAAAGAAAGAAAATCTCCTTAATAATTTTGTATTGATTTCATATCGAAGTGATAATATTTTGAGTATATTAGGTTAAATAAAATACATTGTTAAAGTTAGTTTACTGGTTTCTTTTTACTTTTTTTAATGTGACTAGTAGAAAATTTAAAATCCCATATGTGGCTTGCGTTATATTTCTTTTGGCCAGGGTTGCTCTAGAAGCAGCATAGTTTGAATACAGAGCATAAATGTTGGACTCAAGAATCCCAGCTCCCTCAGTGACCTTGGGCCAGCCCCTTAACTTTCTAGAGCCTGAGTTTTCTCATCTGTATAAAGGAAGTGGATTCAGGAAGTGGCACACAGTAGGTCCTGCAGTCAGAGCTAGCACTGTTGAAGTGTGCCCTCTGTGCTCAGGCTCAATGCAGGCCATCCCACCTGCCCTTTCCCACCCCATTCCTCCAGCCTGGATCACCCTCCCTTTCTTCCCGGACAGACTCCTGCCTGCCCCCCAGGGAGCCCTCCCTGAGTGTCCAGTCACTGACTGTTGCTTTCATTGGTTCCCAGGGACTGAAGAGCTGCTCGGGGCCAGCCCTAACACAGGATACAGGAAGCCAGGCACCTGGGTGATCCTCTGACCCTGAGCCCCAGAGCCCAAAGGCTAGTCCAAGAGCTCGACACACTCAGACATCCAGCTCCAGGAGCAGGCACCTGGGCAGAGGTAAGGCCAGGGCCCAGTCCTCTGGGAGGCCGGAGAGGCCTGCTCAGCTCTCAGGAACCACCCCTGGGTGCCTCTGAGCTTCCCAGCACCTGTGGGCACAGGCTGGCCCTCAGGTCCCTTGGCCCAGGCGTCCAGGTCATACTGCAGTGAACTCAAAAGACAGTCCATGTGCTCGCAGGGAGATGAATTGCCAACCGCAAATAATTTCTCAATGATTCAGTGCCAGTGTGGTGTGTGCTGCGAGGGAAAAGAACAGGATGCTCTGAGAATGTGTACCAGGGGACCTCACCTGGCTGGGTACCTGAGGGAGATATCTTATCAAGAGGAAGTATGGGGACGGGGCACATTCTGGGTGGTGAGAAGCTGAGATGGAAACAGACCACGCAGGGCCGGAGCTGGAGAAGCGTTCCAGTCTTTATGCTGGAGAAAGCTGATCACTCTGGCTGCCATATACAGAACGGGTGGGCGAGATTTTGCTGGGCAGAGGGAAGAGGGTGACCCCTCAGGGACGCTGTGGCAGTGGCCTGGGGAGATAGTGGAGTGTGGAGCAGTGTCAATGGACAGAAGCGGTGGATTCTCAGTGTGGTCCGGATGTAGGATTGGCATCACTCACTGCTTGCACGTGGGGGTAAAGGAAGGGGATTCGAGGAAGTGCCCAGGTGCACTCAGTAGGGGTCCTGTTTTCTGAGATGAGGGAGGTTTGGGGGTAGAAATAGGCTGGAGGAAGAGAGGTTTCCCAGGCAAGCCTGGATTGGTGGGGGTCAGAGTGGCCGTGGCCTAAATACTGCCCAAGCAGCCCCTGCATTGCAGGGAGGAGCTGTAGTGCAAGGAAGCACTTTCTGCTGCTGAGAAATCCACAAGGGACAAGGGGCCCCTTCCGCAGAGTGGGGAGGGACCAGGGCTCAGCACACACAGGGCTGCCCAGCTTTGAACAGAGTCCTGGCTCTGACACCAGCTACCAGAGGGTGAAACCCCCAAGGCAGCCGATGAGCCACAGGAGGGGCCAGGACAGTGTCGGGCTTTGTGGATGGTTCAACCAAATCACCGTCTTCAGATGTCCACAGACTCCGAAGATGGACGAGAAGCATTCTGGGTGGGCCGCAGGGGAAAAGGGGAAGTATAGGAGGCAGGCAGCGGCTCCAGACAAGGATGGTCTTTGCTGTTGTTACTGCTAATAATAGTAATCACAATAATAATAGTTACTATTGCTTGAGAACTTTACTGGTGCCTTGCCCTGGACCAAGCAAATTACTTGTGGACAACTTTAAAGGCCTCACAACCACCTGGCCTGGTTGGGGACCGTGTCCCCATCTTACAGTGGAGGCAGCTGGGGCTCAAAGGGGTGCAGTGACTTGCTCAAGGCCACACAGCCAGGAAGGGGCAGGGCTGGGACTCTCTGTATCAACATATAGTGGGCCCCCGTCCCAAGAGTGATTAGGATAGGTATTGATAGAAATTTTCACATTTTCCTCTTTCACACCTTAAGAATTGTTTTCCCTCAAAAGTCAATGTGTTTTAAATTTCTTTGTGGATTCTTTTTCTTTTCTCCATTCAATTACTCAGTTGTTCACTTGCCAGTGAGCCTCTACAATGGGCCAGGCCCCAGGCTGGCCACACTGGGGTACCACAGTGACTAAGGTGGTCTGAGGACCTGGCCTGGAGAGCAGAGGCCGTTTCAGCAGAAAGCAATCAGGGCTGAGGTGGGGGAAGCCCAGAAGGATTATCTAACCCAGCCTGATGGTAGAGGATGCTCAGGGAGGGTTCTCAGGGAGGAGGTGATATCTGGGAACCCTGAAGGATGAGTGGAGTTAGCTAGGTGGTGGGATTGGATGGGGGAAGCATGATTCAGACAGAGGGGACACATGGGCATGGATTCAGAAACAAGTGGCTGCACATGAGCTGCTGCTCGTAGCTGATGTTGGTTGGAGGGGAAGGTATGGGGCAGGTAGAGGGTGATTAGACAGGGAGGGGTGTGGCTGGAGATGGCCTTTCTCCCAAGGGCCACAAGGAGTCTTGAGGCGTTGTTGGCCAGTGTGACATGGTCAGATAGGGTTTGGTCTAGACCTTGAGAGCTGAAGTGGATCCGATTGGAGTGGGCAGGCCTGTGGCCCAGCTGGAAGCTGCTGCAGTGGTCTAGGCGGGAGATGACAGTGGCCTGGTGTGGTCCAGCACTCACTCCCCATCATGCTGTAGCTACAACTCTCTTTTAGTTGTCAGTTGCCTGTTCAATGGTTTGTTTGCTCAGGGAGAGAAAGATGGTAGGTACATTCTCGTTCACAGCTGTATCTGCCCAGCATTTAGCAAGGACTGTGGGACGATGGAATCGGCAGAGTGGGCATGGGGTAGGGTGGATGAGGGAGGCTGGTGAGGTCACCCACAACCAGGTCCCGAAGGACCTGGTGACCTGGGGCCAGGGAACAGACTTCTCCCTAGGGTCTAGGTTGGACTTTCAGCCTAGGAGCCACTGGGCAGATCAGGGATTTAGGAAGGTTCCTCCAGCAGTGGTCACATGGTGCTGGCTAATGGGGATCCTCTCTGCCCACCCCAGGAGCCACGAGGATGGCGCACCTGCTGGGCAGCCAGGCCTGCATGGACAGCTTGCGCAAGGACCTTACCGACCTGCAGGGCGCCATCGTGGACGTGTTCTCCCGTGCCGGGCCCGTGCGTTTCCCCTCCTGGAAGTTCCCTGACCGAGTAGCCTGTGACCTGGACATGGTGGCCCTGCTAGAGCACTATGACCATGTGCCGAGTGACCCTGAGTTCACGCAGCTCTCCCACGCTGTTCTGCTGGAGCTGGTCATCGACAGGTGAGTCACCTCGGGTTGCTGGCACCCTCCCCTTAAACCAGTAGCAGCGGTGGTGATGACATTGGTAACAACAGTCGCCTTTGACTGAGTACCTGTTGGGGGCCAGCTCAGCTCAGGGCCCTCACAGTGATCTCGCCTTGTTCGTGCTGTGCTGGGCCGTCCTATCCTGTCCACCCTCAGGGAGCTGCTGGCCGCCCTGTTGGTCTCTGCAGCACCACAGCTCTGACGGCTGCCTCTCTGGCCACTGCCAGCTGCCTCCTGAGGGTTTCTGTGTGTCAGGGACACCACACCTGCTGCTCAGAGTTTCCATCCCAGGCTCTTTTTCCTGGTGTCTTGTGGGCTGTGCTGTTCCCTCTGTGTGTCACAGGACCAGACACGGGATGTGTTTTTCCAAATCCTCGCCCGGCTGGGAAGAGGCCAGTGGATTCCCCGGCGGCCCCGCCACTTCTGCGCTATCACTAAAGTCACTTCCACTTCCTGGGGACTGTAACCCATGCTCCCTGTGCTCCAAAACCTTATACACTAATGAGGTCATGGAGGCCCAATAGACGGGGACCCCAGCAGTTCTGGGATGGCCTGCCTGGGGACAAGGAAGCCCGGGTAACCACTTAGCGGCCTGGAGGAGGAGCCCTTGGTGTGAGAGCACCATTTGTAACCTGGGAGGGGCTGAACCTGTGTAAGCACGGCACACACCTTCCTTCCTCCGTGGCTTTGCATATGCTGTGCCCTCTGCTAGGAACGCCCTGCCCACGCCTTGCTGGTCCGGCCGGGCCCCACTCATCCATCAAGGCCCAGTTTACCCATCCCCGCTGTGAAGCTATTGTTGACATGGCTTTCTGCCCTCTGCCACATCCCTCTGCTCACCTCTGGCTGAGCTTGTCAGAGCCTCCTCTGGGCTTCTATGTGTGTACATAACTCCTGGCAGAGGCTGCTGGGTTTGAGACCTAGACCAGCCTGGGAGCCCCGGAGGACAGGGCTGCAGCCGCCGGCTCAGAGTGTAGCACTTGGAGGTGCTTAGTTCATGTCAGGGGATGGGATTACGGCTCAGGGTGAAGATAATGCAGCAGCACAGCATCTCCCGTCAGGAGGGTTTGCCTGAGCAGGCAGATCACTCTGTCAAGGCCATGCTCTGTCCTCTTTCCAGGCCCTTTCCCTCTCCCTAGTGCTGCTCAGCACCATGGCACAAGCACTGTTGTCCCCATTCACAGAGGAGGACACCTTGGCCCAGAGTGGGGCAGAGACTAGAAGTGGTTGGCACCTCCTTCCCTTCTCTGCCCAAGACCCCAGTGGGTTTGAGATGACCCCCAGCACCTGCCACAAGATAAGGTCATTTATCTGCCTGGTATCTTTTGTAAATGCAATACTTCTTCCTTTAAAATTGCTTAGTTCCGGGGCTGGCCCGGTGGCATAGCGGTTAAGTGTGCGCACTCTGCTTTGCCGGCCTGGGGTTCTCAGGTTTGGATTGCGGGGGCAGACCTACACACTGCTCATCAAGCCGTGCTGTGGCGATGTCCCACATATACAATGTAGGAAGATTCGCACAGATATTAGCCCAGAGCCAATCTTCCTCAGCAAAAAAAAGAGGAGGATTGGCATCGGACATTAGCTCAGCGCTGATCTTCCTTACATACTTACATACATTCATACATAAAATAAAATAAAATTGCTTAGTTCCCAGGCAAACATAAACTTATCTTCCCAGCACCACTTTTCCTTAAAATTAGCACCTGACTCTGATTTTGAACTCCAAGGTTAGGATAGAGGCCTAGCTCTCTTCCCTCCATCTCCATTGTCACAGAAGCAGCCCACCTTGCAGGAGAAGCCCCTGACTAGAATCAGGAAACTGAGGCTGTGGGCAGGCTCCTCCCCTCCTAAGGTCTCAGCTCTGTTGTCCATCAGGTGAAGGCTTTGAGCATGTGATGTAAGGCAGCTACTCACCCCTCACTTTCTGAGCACTCAGGATGCAAATGAGGCAGGCTGGGCCTCCCAGAGCATCCTGGTCCAGTGGGGAACAGCCAGTCAGAAGTGCTGCCACCCAGGAGGCCCCCAAGCTCAGCCCTCAAGGAGGGCTTCCTGGAGGAAGTAGCTCTTGGATTGGGTTTGAAGCTGGCCAGGCAGAGCATCTTTCGAGATGTTCCAAGTCCCTGATGCCTGGGCCAGTTCCCCAGAGTCAGAGGCTGCTGGTTGTGTGACATGAGGGCACACTGGTGCTGGGCTCTGCCCCAGCTGACCCTGCCTCTCTGGCCACAGGCTCCTGCTGCTGCTTCAGAGCTGTGCGAGCTATTTGGAGAACCTCGGCTCAGAGCAGACAGTGCCCCCTGCCCGGGCTGCAGGGCCCTGCATGTCTGTGGGGCTCACGGTGCGGCGCTTCTGGAACAGTCTGCTGAGGCTGGGCATGCTCTACCAGCAGGCAGCCCCCCAGGTACCAGCAGGTGGCTACCCTTCATTCCCCAACTGTGGTCACCCTCACACCAGTCTACCCTGTCCCAGCTTTCTAGCACACCAAACGTGCACCATATCCATTGCTGGCTCCACACTGCCTGAAGGAGATAGTGTCAACTCTGGAACCTCCCAGTCAAGGCCCACGCAGCTCGGCAGTTAGCAGCACAGGCCTCGGGGTCATGTCTGGGCTACTTGGCTCTGCTGTTTACACCGTGGGGCTTTGGAAAAATCCTACCTACTCTAAACCTCAGCTTGTGCATCTGTACAATGGGAGTAATAACAGTCCCTACCTCTCAGGATCTTGTTGGGTAATAGAGTTAATATGAGCCCCATTTGTTACGGGTTATCCCGGTGGAAGGACCACCGTCACCATAAAGGGGAGGAAACAAACTGACGGTGACTCTGGTGACATGAGAGCAAGCAAGTCTACCAAGCAAGAGCCCCGTAACCAGCAGCCGTGGCTGTCACTGTCACCCTCCCAGTACCACGCGTGTAACTGCAGTGAGCCTGGTGGGTGGGGAGGGGCAGCAGAGAGGAGGCCTGGGCTTGGGAAGTTGAGACAGCAGAAAGAAAGAAGGTTCTCTCTCTCATTCACGTTGGTGTCAGATGACATCTGAGGGTCTGAGCATCAGGAGAGGCTGTCACAGAAATCCCCAGGGAACTGGTCACCTCCCAGACCTATCCTCCTCACCTGCTTTCCCTTTCTTTTCTTGACCACAGAAAAGGGCAAACCAAGGAGAGACCCCCACTTCTAAGCCCACAGCCACCGGCGAGCCAGCCAGGAGCCCTGAATTTGTGACTGCCAAGTTCATCAAGCCTCCTTCCCCAATGCCACTCTTGCCCCAGACCTGCCAAGAGGCAGACAGCCTCGCCGTCAGAGTCTCCCTGCAGCGTCCAGCCGGGACCACCAAGAACACCAGGAGTGTCCGCTCCCAGACCGTGGAGACGGCCCTGGTGCCCTGTGATGCGTGCACCAGCGTCCAGGGCAGCCTGTGGGAGGTGGGCAAGGTGGTCATCAGCCTGTGTCAGAGCCAGAACTTGCCCTCGTCCTTAGGCCAGTTCCAGCAGCTGGTGCGGGACAGCGTGGGGCTCAGGCCGCTGCCGGCCACCACCATGGGCCACTGGGCCACAGAGCAGAGCAAAGACCTGACGCGCCTCAGTAAGCATGTGGGGGCCCTTACTCAGCTCGTTGGGCCCCTCAGGGCCCAGCTGGAGGAAGCTGAGGGGCAGAAGGATGGCCTGAAGAAGCAGGTGGGCAAGCTGGAGCAGGCGCTGCAGCAGGAGCAGGGGGAGCGGCGGCGGCAGGCGGACGAGGCCAGGCAGCGCCTGGCCAAGTGGGAGCACGACAAGCAGCAACTGCTCGCAGGTCTGTGCCCTGGGCTCTGCTGCAGCCTTAGCTCGGGCTCCCCCAGAAGCAGACCCGAGACAGGGCTGTGGGTGCAAGTAGTTGGTGAGGAAGAGACCCCGGCTGGGGAGTGGGCAAGAGACGCAGGGAAGGGAAGGCAACGAGAAAGGGTGTGCTCATCAAGCCGGTTACATGGCAGGCAGCTGGAGCTTCATCCCACTGGGGAACACTGGAGCCGGTGGTGTAAAACAATGCCTCAGAGTTGTCCCCTTAGAGGGGCGAGGGAGCCCAGGGATTCCTACACTCCTGTAGGTCACTGAAGGGGACTCCTGGGGGAGTTCATTCCTCTGGCAACTCCAGCCAGCAGAGCGGCCTCTTTGGCTTCAGCAAAAGCCATTGGGCAAAGAGATGTTGCTGTGGCACTGGAAGTTGGCCAGTGCTCGCTGATGTGAGGCCTGAGGGATTCGGGCAAGTTGCTGCCCTTTCCAAGCCTCACTGTCCCCCTGACGGAGGACACCAAGGCCAAGAGAGGTGGAGAGACATGCCAGCCAGCCAGTAGCAAGCAGGGCAGATGGGGCCCAGGCCTCCTGGCCCCTGCACACCGCAGGGGCTGCCACTGCTCTGCAGGGTGCACTAGGTGTGGAGACTGCCAGCCAGGCCCAAGGGAGCCTCTGAAGGGCCTCTCTCTTGGCTGCCGTAGAAACAAGTGACCTCAAGAGGAAGGTGGCCATCCTGGAGGGGGAGCTGAAGCAGCAGAAGGAGTCCATGCAGGCTGTGGGTGAGGAGCCCCGTTGTACGGCCCTGCATCATGGGCCCTGTGCCCAGTGGTGGCTGTATGAGCCCCTCCATCTCTGTTCCTTGGGCTTCCAGGGTAAAAATAAAGGGAACCACACAGGAGGGTGGGCCTGACCAGCCACACTGTTGGGTGATGACCTGAGCCCGGGTGCCACCTTCTATTCTCAGAACCCACCTCAGGTGGGGTTCAGAGCCCCATGTTGTGGCTAAGGACACTGAGGCCCAGAGACGTGCCGTGACCCTCCCCACTCAGGTCCTGTCCTGGATCGGAGGCACTGCAGGGACTCGCACCCAGGGCTCCCCTGCCCTACCCCTTCCCATGCCTGCTCAATCCTGTAGAGACCAAGGCCCAGCAGCTGCAGGAGGAGGCCAAGTGCAGGGCGGAGGCCGAGAGGCAGGTGCAGCAGCTGGAAGAGCAGGTGCAGCTGCTGGCAGGGCGGCTGGACGGGGCCAGCCAGCAGATCCGTTGGGCCAGCACAGAGCTGGACAAGGAGAAGGCCCGCGTCGACAGTATGGTCCGCCACCAGGAGGTGAGCCCGGGGACCTTGCTGGCGCTCTGGGCACCTGCAATGTAGGCTGCAGGGAGAGAGGGCTCCACTGGTGGGGATGGGGGTTTATCTGTGTAGGGTACCTGCTCTCCAACACACACACACCCAAGTTTTGTTTTGACTGATCTTTTCCAAGAGTCTGAGCCCTCCCCTGAGCCGGGCACTGGGGAAACAGGGACCCAGGGACACATACAGCCAAATGAGGCTTTGCTCTGGAGGACCTCCCCGCCCGGCAAGGACGAGCGGTTGTGCCACCATAACTCTCCTGCCAGATGGCTAAGGGGCTGGAGAAAGTGCTGCAGGGGTCCAGGGAGGGATGGTCACATCTGCCTGTAGGAATCCAGGATGGCTTCTGGGAGGAGCTGGCCTTTGACCTGGATGCCAATGGCTGGTGATTAGTCCATCAGCCAGAAGAAAGATAGGGCAGAGGGTGAGCCAGGGCCCAGGGCCCGGGATATGGCTGTGCTCTGGGCATTGGGGCCTTGCCCAGGAGTCCCCAAGGGAGTGGCTGAGGGAACAAGTGACCTGTCATCTAGAGAAGGGGGCAGGTCTGGGGGCTGTCCTGGCTGGGTTTAACCTTAGATGTTCAGTGGGGAGCCAAGATCCAAGGTAGAAGTCCCCAGGGTCAGGCATGGCCAGGATAGGGAAGCCTTTCAACCCCAAACAGTGCTTTTCTCGGTGTCTTAGTCACAGTCACCGTGCATCAGGTGTCTGCTGTGAGCCAGGCACTGGGCTTCAGCCTCTGCAACCCCCTCATTCTTACTCCTCGCCACAGCAGGAGGTAGATACTCTTGTCATCCCCATTTTACAGATGAGGAAACTGAGGCTTGGGGAGATTAGGGAAATTGTCCAAAGCCGCACAGCTAGCCAGTGGTGGAGCCAGGACTCAGAGCAGACTGGTGCTGGTTCTTGCTGCTTTGCACTCAGTGGGTGTCAGGAAATGTGGGTTCCAAGTGACATGGGTTGATGGGACACTAGTGACCTGAGGAGAAGAAAAGTATACTTGCCAGAATTCCTCTTCAAGTGGAGACTGTGTAACTGGAAAGAAGTGGGTGTGAGGCCGACAGAGTCAGGCAACTGCTTTCCAAGGGGGCGGGGTCTGCAAGCTGGGGGGCCTGGCCTTGATGGGATTGGGGTGTGCATCCATCTTCCACTCCACGCTGTGCACAGCCTCCTGCACACAGAGAGACGCGACTCTAGGGGGAGGGCTCAGAGGGTCGCAGATATGGTAGCTCCTTAGTCCCAAGTGGCTGGGCCTAGCCCCAGAGGCCTCATGGCCTCCCCGCCTGCCCACCCGGCTCAGTCCCTGCAGGCCAAACAGCGAGCCTTGCTGCAGCAGCTGGACAGCCTAGACCAGGAGCGCGAGGAGCTGCGGGGCAGTCTGGACGAGGCCGAGGCCCAGCGGGCCCACGTGGAGGAGCAGCTACAGAGCGTGCAGAGTGAGAGGGAGCAGGGGCAGTGCCAGCTCCTGGCCCAGCAGGTGGGAGTGGGCAGGGACAGAGGGAGATCTTGGGGGGAGACGTGTCCGTCCCAAAGCTGGGCGCTCACACAGCTGGAGGTTTGGAGCAAACGCTCCCGTGGCCTGAGGCAGGTGGGAGTGGGCAGGGTGAGGGTGCTGGGGGCAGCTCTTCCCTTTCACCAGAGGAGCCTCCAGCCAGCTGAGTGCCTGCAGGCCTGACCCGTGTCTGGGGAGTAGGGGGGTGGGGTGTCCCCAGGGGAGCTGGGAGCCATTCCTCAGACAGGGCCTGAGCCTCCCCCTGCCCCAGGAGCTGCTGCAGAGCCTGCAGCAGGAGAAGCAGGGGCTGGAACAGCTGACAACGGAGCTGCGGCTGACCATCTCAGAGCTGGAACGGGAGCTCGTGGAGCTGAGGGAGCGGGAGCGGCTGCTGGTGGCCTTCCCGGACCTGCATAGACCCATCGAGACCCAGATCCAGAGTAGGGGCCCGGGGGTGCTGCAGAGGGCCTGGGGCGGGCAGCTGAGGGCTCACCTGGGCAGGACACTGTGGTCTGCAGCTCCCAGGCTGCAGCAAGGGCGGGGAGAGCAGGGGTAGCCAGCAGTGCGGCCCATACAGAGCCCCCACGACACACAGGTGCTTCACGTGTTATCCTCTGTATGGATGGGGACAGGGAAGCCCAGAGGTGTGGTGACTGCCCATGGTCCCATAGCCAAATCCAGATGCAGGCAGACCTGCATCGGTCGCCTGTGCTCTTCACCACGTCACATGCCAGTCCTCGACGTCCCTGTGTCCCCCATGCTGCGTCTCCCCAAACCACATCATGGGGTCAGCTCCAGGGCACAGCCCCAGCTCTCCAGTGTCCTGGACCCCGTGGCACAGCGGAGGATTTGACTCCAAGCGACCTGGGTTCTCGTCCCAGCCCCTCCAGCCCTCTAGAGCTCTGGGGGTGAATCATTTGCAGAGCTGTTGGGAAGATCCTCTACAGTTAAGCTGCTCATGATAAGTCATCACTCCTGAGCGCTGACTACGTGCCAGGCCCCTCGATGCCTTCTCAACTGCCCCGCAGGGCGGGTAGCAGCCCCTTTTTACAAACCAGGAAACCCAGAACCAGAGCGGGCAGCAACTTGCCCGGGTTCACAGAGCCGAAAGAAAGCATCCATCCCCCGAGCAGTGGGAAAGAACGGCCTTGCTGAATTCCGGTGACTCATGCCCAAGAGCCGCTGTGTGACTCGGGACAACTCACCCTCCCTCTGGCCCTCTGAAAACAGGTGGCCTTGGAAGAGATTCACTCTCTTGCCTATTTGCCGAGTCTTCAGTGAGCTCTAGGTCCCACCCAGCTCTCAAATTCTATCCTGCTGTGGTCACTTCCCAGCAGGTGGGGGGATAAGGCCTCAGGAGAAGGAAGATGAGATGGGAGGCCCAGTGCAGTGACCCTGCCCAGCTCCCCTGTGCCTGCCGGGCCACCAACCCAAGGCACACGCCAGCTGCTGTGCCTGCCCTCTGAGGTACTGTCCCATTGGGCACAAGAGGCAGATCTGGCAGGGTGAGGTGCCAGATAGCATGTCCCCACAGGCTCCGGCAACGTCACGGATGACATGGAGAGGCAGGTGGAGGCCAACGACATCCGCATCCGGGTCCTGCAGGAGGAGAATGGGCGGCTCCGGTCGATGCTGTCCAAAATCCGGGAGGTGGCCCAGCAGGGAGGCCTCAAGGTAGGCACCCTGGCTCCCCCACCTGAGAGGGCCGGCCCTTGGGGACTTGGAGGAGGCCCCCGACTCAGCAGAGGTTTTCAGACCCCACCCTGGGAACCTGTCGAGAGCCTGCCTCATCACACATGACTTTAGGCCGTGCTGTTGTGAACTATCTTCCACATTTCTAGAAGGTGTGCGAGTGTTAACAGTGCTTTCTGGTTCCAAACCCCTCTCTGGCCATTCGTGCCTTGATTTCAAGTGCAACCAGGAGTCTTGTCAGAAAGCAAACTTTCCCACACTTAACCACAGCAGAGGCAGCCCCGGAAGGCTTCCCAAACCCTGCCCCTCAGAGAGAGGGGCTGTGGGTACAGGTTCGGCCCACCCCCCCGCCCCCGGCTACGACACCCTCTCTGAGCAGTGGGGAGGGGACTCCTGAGCCTGAGCTTGGCTTTCTTTGCAGCTGATCCCTCAGGACCAGCTCTGGGCCCCTCCCAGCAAAGGAATCCAGGGAGCAACGCCCCCAGCCCAGGCCCAGAGACCATCCCCAGGGTGAGTGAGGCTCTGCCAGAGGCAGGGCAGAGAGGGGGAGGCTCGTCCCCCTCGCTCACAGGGGATCTTGCCATCTGGTCCTCCCTCAGGCCCCTGGGCAGGCGGCACCCACCTGGCAGCAGGACGGCTAGTGCAGGCAGGACCCTCACAGGCCAGCCCCGGCTATCGCTGCCTCAGCAGCCCTGCAGCCGGCCCAGCAAGTCCTCCCTGGAGAATGTGACCCACTCAACCACCTGCGCCCAGAACCCCATCTGGGCCCTGGCCAGGCTGAGGAGGAGACTATCACCGGGCCAGGGCCAGGCCAGCCCTGCACAGCAGCCCCAGGAGCGGCCCATGTAGCCTGCAGTGAGATGGGGATAGAAGGCAAGTGGCTGGTAACCCACCCAAATGTAATAAAGCCCCCGCCATCTGCCCACAGCAGCCTTGGCCTCACAGCACCGGCTGCGCCGGGGGAAGTGTCCTTCCTTCCCCATCCTGGACAGGGACCACTGAGCCATGCAGGTCATCGGCCAGCAGAGGCCTGGCACATTGTGGGCCCTCAGTAAATGGGAGCTTCCTGCCTCCCTCCTGACAGGGGCAATGGGAGAAGAGGGCACACTGAGGGCAGAAGGAAGCTTCTAGCAGCTGGGTCAGGTGAAAGGCAGTCTTTTGATCCCCATAGCAAGGGCCAAGGGGTAACCTGGGCTCAGTGACCCCCAAGAACAAAGAGCAGGGTCAGGGGAGGGTGTGTGCAGGGGAGGGAGAGCAGCTACAGAGATGGGCCCCCTCCCGGTGAGGATGTCTGAGGCAAGGAAGAAGTCAGAGACTGGGCTCCCCGAGGCAGGCAGAGGGCAGCGATGCCTTCCCCAGCCCCAGATCCAGACCTAAACCTGGGGATGGAGACATTAAAGACCCAAGAAAGTCAGCCCTCCTTTCCCTGAGGAACTCCTCGCATCCACGAAATGTGAGTCACAAGAATTTCTCTAAATGCAGGAGGGTGGACCCCTGGGAGGCCACTGAAGGTAGGGCAAGGCCTCACCCAACCAGAGTGGGACACCTCAGCCAGCTTAGGTTTTCACAGGCCTGCACCTTGGGGCCTGGGCACTGACGCCACCAGCCACACCAGACCCATAGCAGTCGTTTCCTCATGAAGGCTCCAGTCTGTCCTGAGTCACTCTATCTGTAAAGGACAGGCTCTAAGACCTGCCTGAGGACTTCTCAGTGTGGCACTCCCAGCTTCCTGTGACACTTTCCCCTGGTGAGGAGGCCAGCAGGTAGAGCTCTTCAGTTTACAGAGGAGGGCCAAGAGGGGCCATGGCTGAACCAGGGTCTGCCCCCCTCTCGCTTCTGTGGAGCCTGGGGGTTCCTGAGGGAGGCTGGGGTGCCTGGCCCTGCCCCTCAGATGACAGCTAGTTCTCGGTAGGGGGGCTCCCTGAGGCAGGAGGCCTGGGCCAAGTGCAGGGGGAGGACCCGTCACAGCTCAGCTCTTCTCTGCATCCATTTATTAACTCGCTGTTCTGTAGGTCAGATGTCCAGGCCTTGTATGGCTGGGTTCTCTGCTCAGGGTCTTAGAAGGCTGAAATCAAAGTATCTGCCAGGTCACGTCCCTTTCTGATGGCTCTGGGGAAGAGTCCAGGCTCATTCTGATTGTTGGCAGAATTCCGATTCTTGCAGCTATAGGACTGGGGGCCATTTCCTTGCTGGCGGCTGTCAGCAGGGGCCAATCTTAGCTCTTAGAGGCTGTCTGCCTTCCTTGCCACGTGGTCCCCTCCATCTTCAAGTCAGCAACAGAGAATTTCTCACCTGGTTAGGTTAGGCCCACTTGGATACCTTCCCTGTCTTAAGATCAGCTGTGCCATTTAACATAACCTAATCAGGGAAGTGAAAGCCTTCCGAGTCACAGTTCCAGGATTCTGCAAGGCACAAGCATGGGGGCTGGGGGCATCTTGGGGGCCATCTGAGAATCCACCTCCTGCAGGCAGTAGAACTCAAGGCGACTTGTTTTTTTAATCTTAAAACATCCACACAAATTTTACTTCTTATCTTAAAATATATACATGTTTATTTTAATATTAAACCTCCCCTATCTTCTAAAAAAATGGATGCCTCTGGAAGATGCCCCACATTTATCCTGTGGCTTCAAGTATCCTGGTCAGCAACCCGTAGCCCTGCTGAGCAGCACAGGACTGGATGGTTTCTAAGGCCTCTGGTCCCAGCCAGGCCTGAGGAGGGAGCCCGGCCGGTCAGGCAGTGGAACCTGCGGCTCCCAGTGTCCAAGGACCAAGGGCAGCAGAGAGTGGAGGGGCCTCTGGGTTTAACATCACAGCCTTGACCAAGATGGGTCCTGAAAGGTGGTCAGGCTAAGGTGCCCCCAAGGCCAGATGGCTCCTCCCCCAACTCACCCCCCCAATAAATAAGCACAAAACCCGACCACTGCAGCCTCAGCCCCCAGGGATGCCCTGACAAGCAGGCTGGAGAGCTCCCGGAGCCCTGAGAACAGCTGCACTGCTCCACACCCTCTCCCCAGACCCCTGCCCAGGGTCCCAGGAGCTGCCTGCAAGAAGGCAGACACGGACACCCCAGGATGGCAGAGAAGGCCCCCAATGCGGCCTGTCTTCCTGGCAAGTCCAGGCCCTGCATCCTCGGCCTGGGGGCTGTGGCCCTCCTTCCCAATGTGGATGTGGTAGAGCGCCTTGCCTCTCAGCAGGGGAGGGCCCCTATCCTTCCTCCCACCCACAGGGCTTGCTGTCCTGTTCCAGGAGCCCAGGCCAGAGCCAGGGTGCAGGCGGGAGGGGGTCCCTTCCCCACATGCAGAGACCCAGCTGGGGCTGCTAATCATCTGAGTAGCGGTTCCCTGCAGGGGAGAAGGAAAAAGAACAGGGAGGGAGGCATCAGATGGGGACCCAGTGAAGCCGGCCAAGGGCCCCCACCCTTGGTGCTCACCCAGGACGTTGAATTTGCACAGTGGGCAGGTCTGCTGGAGCATCAGCCAGGGGTCCACGCAGTCTCGGTGAAACTCATGCTTACAGGGCAGCACCCGGAGCCACTGCGGGGTGGAGGGAAGGGCTCAGGCCACAGGCGCAGGCCTGCAGGTGGGGGTGCCTGGCCCCGTGCCCTCACCTGAGCTGGGGAACTGAAACCTCTGTGGCCTGCACGCCCCCATTCTGCTTTCCATAGCGCTGGTGGGGGCTGGGAGAAGGGCCCCATTGGGGTGGTTCTGAGGTCTCAGGAGTAGGGTGGGGGACATCACAGGTCAGCTGAGGGCTGGCCTCTGCCCAGGGCACTAACCTGCTTGTTGCAGAAGTAGTCCAGACACACGGCGCAAGTCTCAGCGCCAGGCTCCAGGGGGCCCTGTGGCGCCCTGCCCAGCCGGCAGCGCCGGGTCTTGAGGGACGCCAGTCTGCGCACCACGCGGCGCTTGAGCATGTCCACCTGTGCAGAGGGCAGGCACGGTTCAGCAGGCCCGAGGGCTGGGGCAGCAGAGCTCCCAAGGGCTGGCTCCCACCTGGCCTCCAGGCTCCCGCTGGCTCTGCCGCGACGCCTGCCGCTGGGCCTGGACCACGAGGCCTGTGCACAGGAGCATGGCCACCAGCAAGATGGCATTCCACAGCTGCTGCAGCGGCTTCTGGGGAGGGGAGCAAGGTGTCAGCCGGTGGGGCCGCTCTACCCTCTGCCCCCAGGAAACCCACCCTGAGGACCAGCCAGGTGAGGTCCATGCTCCTGGCTTCCTCTTCTGAAGCCTCCCGCCCTCCCACCTGTGCACTCCTAGGGTCTGCCCCAGCTGCCTTTGCTCTACCCTCCACAGTGAGGTGACCCACATCTGTCCCCAGCCCAGGCCTCTCGTGGGCAACAGACCTGATGTTTTTGCACTCTTGGAAGCATCTATCTGGCAGTCTCCCCGGCTCCCCAGCTCAGGACCCTGTCACCTTCCCACCCCCATCCCTAACCCACACTCTTTCCGCTCTGCTTTCTTGGCCACCGTCACCCACCTGCCTCCCCACCGTCTAGGCTGAGCATTCTGAGAGGGCGCCAGACCCCAGGCCCTGCTGCCTCGCTCTCCTAGGGGTCTCCCATGCCCCTCCTCTCCATCCCGCTCCACTGCTCTTTCAGGTCCCCTGCCCCGGCCTCACGCACCCATTTCCCACCCACAGGGATCTCACCTGCAAACGTGATCACACAGCACCCCTGCCTGACACCTTTCCCTGTGACCCTCCCCCACCCCATCCTCCACCCTCAGGAAAAAAACCAAACTCCTCCTTCAGCCGACCCTCAAGGCCTTGATTTCCCACACCCTCCCACCCCTCAGTGTCCATGCTCCTTGCCCCCTCCCACATCTGTGCCTTTCCACACACCATTCCTTGTCTTGGGAACTCTCTTCTTCCTCACCCCTTCCCATGGCTAATGCCTTTGGACTCTCCTTGCTCCAGAAGCTCTCCCAGACCACCACGGCTGGCCAAATGCTCCCCTCCTGCCTCTCCCTGTGCAGCCCTCCTCATACCTACTCTAACCCAGTGTTTCACTGCTGCTGTCCTCGAACTCCCCAACTCCCATTGGCAGGAGAGAACCATGTCTGACGTGCCTCATTTAGCCTTTGAGAGGTCCCAGGGGGGCCTCAGAGGTCCAGGGGAACCACACTGACCCGGACGTAACTCCCACCGTTTGCAGTGTGGCAGCGAGGCTTTGACTACTAAACAGCTGGCTCAGGAAATGATGTAGCAGAATAAGCAAAACCTGGCTCGCTCACCCACACGGGCACACCGTTTCACAGGGTCTGTGGATGTGTTATGACTAATAAATGCATTTGTTTAAAAGCTTTTTGCATTCCTAGTAGCCTTCTGCCATCAGGTTCTTCCCCGGCCAACGCTGAAGTTCAACTACCAGCAGGTGGGAGAGGGGCTGAGAAATGATTTGACATTAAAAGAAGCCACCACTCTAGACAAGGTTGGGTGCTGCTAGTGTCACACATGTTGCTTTTGCTCAGGGCAGAGGCACTCTGGGGGCCACTGCCGAAAGGTGTCTATGAGCCCCAGCACCCTGCTGTCCCACCCTTTCCCCCCCTGGTTTCTGTCCCCGTCTCTCATTCATGGTGGGGTGGTGGTACCTGCTCCAGGAAGCTCCCCCCAAGCTGCTCAGCTGAGCTCAGGTGGCTTCACTATGCCACAGAGGGCTCGGCCCCGCTCCCACCACTAGCTCAGCACTCGCCCCAGCAGAGTGACTGCCTCTGGCCTGTCTCCTCCCTGGATGGGGCCCTGTGAGCCCAGGCCTGGAGCTGCCCTGCCCTTGTGCCCCCTGCCACAGTGAGCCAAGCTGACACCTGGCAGGACTCACTGAGCAGCCGTTACGCTGTAAGCTCTCCAGGGCTGAACCTGGGGCTCAGTGCTCTGGAGCAGCCAGTGAGCACTGGGTGGGCCAAGGGCATGGCCCACCTGGCACTCCACTGTAGGCCGAAGACCCAGCCTCCCCAGGCTCAGCGCATTTGGGGACCCCCAGGTGAAGAGGGAGGGTGGGGCTGGGGCTTGTCCATCAGAGCAGCAAGGACATGGTTCATTGGGCTTTTCTGTCACACGGGTGCCGCCGTTCTGGATTCCCAGAGGCTGGACGGATGGGGACTGGGCCCTGGGCTTGGGGCTGAGAGCCTGCCCCACCTGCCCTTCAGACACCTTCGCTACCACAGGCACCCAACACTTGTACTGGTCCACCCCGGCCAGCAGTATGGCCGAGGCTGTTCAGCCTTGCCTTCTGCACCAGCAGAGCGACCTGCAGACTGAGCACATTCCCACCTGCAGGCTTCCGGGCTCTCTCCCAGCTCTAGCCTCTCATCTGACAGCCCCTTACCAATGCCTGCCCCACCCAGAGTTCTGTGTGGGCTGTCCTCCAGGGGAGATACAGTGGGGCTCCCTTCTCTTCCAGAAAGCCCTTCCCTTCCCCCAGCCTCAGTGCCCGCTCCCTCCACCGAACTGCAGTTCGGGCTGCTCAGACAGGAATCAGCAAGTGCTGTCTGGGCTGACAGGCTGAAGCTGCATTCACATAAGCGTTCCTTTTCCCTGCTTGTCTTTGGGCCCTTCAAGGGCACAGCCCGGTCTGACAGGCTTTTTGTACCCTCCACGTGAAGCCCCATGCATCCTAGGATCTCAAAAGCTACTTATGACCACTGACTTATTCAAGCACCTATAACAATGAAGATACTCAGAGTCGCAGCAGCTGTCCATCTGCTCAGGGCCCACTATGAGCTTAATGTACACAATCCCCTAACAATCCTGTGGCCATGTACTGTCCCTGTTCACAAATGAGGAACACGAGACCAGAGAGGTTAAACACTTGGCCTAAGACCACTCAGCTAAGGTTTCAGAGCCAGGATCTGAACCCACGTCTGCCTGACTTGAAGCCGCCTCACACGGCCCACGTCCACCAACACGTGCTGGAAGCTGCACGCCAGACAAGGGCACGCCCACCCTGCAGAGAGTGGGGACTCGAGAAATGCTTGCGGACAGAATACCTTTGAACCCTCTCAATGCTGAGCACTGGGAAATCCAGAGACAAATAAGACACAGCCCCAGCCCGCAGGAGACAAAGTCACGCTCCCCAACGCTTACACAGGATGGGCTGTCCTAAAAGCCCCATGAAGGGACTCACAAAGTGCTGCTGTGATTTAGAAGAGGGACAGGGACTGTGAGCGGAGGGTGTGAGGGAGGCTTTCCAAAGAAGGCAGGCAGGGGTCGCTGTGAGGGCTCTGGCTGGACTGGGACACATGGAGACAGAGGAAAAGGATGTCCGTGCCTGTAGCCAAGCATGGAAAAGGCCTAGTGGCAGGAGACCAGGGTGCGTGTGGGGGCCAGTAAATGGCACAGGGTGGTGGAGTGCAAGAAGACTAGGAAAAAAAAAAGGATAAGTAAGTGATCAGGAGAGCTGAAAGCCAGCCTAAGGAGTCTGAACTTTCTTCTGCAGGCAATGGGGAGCCAAAGACGGCTTCTGAGGAGGAGAATGACACAACGAGAGCAGCAGCTAACACTGATTGTGCATGACCCTGGGTCAGGCACTGTACCGAGAACCCGCCATGTCATTGAACACTCACAGCCCTGGGAGGTGGAAGAGGTAGTCCTCCTTACCAAGGCAGGGAGAGGGCACAGGATTTGAGACAAGGCATACGTGTGGCCCCCCCGAGCCTCCTCTTTCCAGGCACCCACCTGCTCCTGGGCCCGACTGCCTCCCAGGCACACCAAGTCCTGCCATCCTCCGTAGCCATGCTTGGAGAGGCCACAGGTGGTCCACAGGGTCAGCTTCCACTCGATGTTGGCCGACAGGGACTCTCCGCTGGTGATCTCAGCCGTGGCCTGGGTCCTCCTGGGAGGGAAAGCCACAGACGGGCCAGACGGAACGGCTCTTGGGAGGGGAGGCCCAGACCCACCCATGCCAGCCTTGTGGGAAAAGGATATTCCCGCAGCCCTTCTGCTTTGGCCCCCAGGCCTTTCCTGGCTATTGGTTTTTCCAAATCTCAAAGCAGCCAGGCAAGGGAGGCCCACAAGCTCAGGGAAGAGCCTGTCAAGCAGGAATCTGGCTTCCTCCTTGCTGGAGCCAATCCTCTCTGCCCACAGAGTCGCCTCCTCATTCCAGGCCCTGCCACCTCCTTCTGGTCCCCTCACCCATTTTTCAGACCAGGAGACTACAGTCTTAAGGCTAACTAGAAAAGCCCTGGTCCCAAGACCCCTGAGCCCGTGGCAGAGCCAGAGACCCTTAGCACCCAGGCCCCCCAGCCTAATCCTTTAGAGCCCAAACCCCACTCACTGCAGCAGTGCCTCCAACAGCTTGGTGACATTGGAAGAATAATGGAGGACAATCACTGGCCTGAGCAGAAGCTGGGATATGTCTAGCTGTAGAGGGACAGGGAGGTCAGCCGGCCTTGGTCCCTATCCCCCAGCGCGCGTGCCCCCAAAACCTGATGCAGTTTACCTCTCGGACCACGTTGTGGTTCAAGATGAGGAGAAGCAGGGCAGAGGCTCCCAGGAAGAGCGCCCGTCGCATCTGCAGGGGACAGGGGCAGAGCTAGCACATGTCTCACCACACACCTGCAGCCACAGCTGTCCTTAGCTCCTGGCTCGCAGTGAGCATTTCCTCTGGACAGACTGGCTCTCAGCTCCTTGAGGTCAAGGGCAGAAACTCTTACTCCTCCTGCCTTCCCCCCAGATGCTCTGTGGGACCCAAACAATGCTGTGCCTTCCCTGGTCCTAGCAGGGCAGGCCTGCCCACCAAACGCCAGCAGGAACCCCCCATTGGATACTCTCAGAGCCTGGTGGAGCTTCCTGATTCTCTGGCCTCCTCCAACCTCCCTGCTGCTAATCATACTGACTCAATTCTCCCAACTGGGGCCCCCTGCCCCACCAGAGCCCAGGGCTTCTGTGGAAGCTCCTCAGGCGCCCATCTGGTAGTCTGGCTCTAGCAGATGCCTTGAAACTCCTGCCTCCAGCCCCCTTCCCCACGTACACCCCCTGCACCTGCTGGACCAGGGCCTTGGGATAGGCCTGCGGGCCGCTGCCCTGACTCTCCTGATGGATCTGGGCCGCCTGCTCCTCGCCCACGTACGCCACTGCAATCCAGCCTTCTACAGGCACCTCCTGCTCAGCATCCACGATGTCCATCTGTGGGGCGAGGGGCCACGGGCAGAGGGAGGGGGGGGAGTAAGGGGGGTCGGACACACAGGGGATGCAAGGCCAGGGTTTGGGAATGAGTTTGGAGGGGAGGGCATCTGGACCTCAGGTTTTGGAAGCCGGAATGCCGGGGGCAGGGGCGGCCTGGGGAGGGGGCGCTGGGCTGCCAGGGCATGATCCAGGATGACGGCAGGATCTGGGTGCAGGGTCTACGGCGGGGCGGGGGCCATACGGCTCGGTGGCTCACCAGCAGCAGGCGGCCGCCCAGCGGGGGCGCCGGGTCGGCCTCGGGGCCGATCCTGACGCCCTCCAGCACCAGAGCGTCCTGCCGCGGAAGCCGCACGTCCACCCGCACGGCGCGGGCCCCGCCCCGCCCCGCCCTGGCCGCGGGGTCGCTGCCGTCAGCCGCGGCCCCGGGGCCCGCCAGGCCCAGCCAGAGCGGCAGCAGGGGCAGCAGCAGCAGTAGCGGCGACAGCGGCGGCGGAGGAGGCGGTGGAGGCGACCTTAGCGCGGGGCGAGCGGCGGGGCCCATGGGCGGACCCGGCGAGCAGAGGAGACAGGGGCGTCGGGGGTCCTGGGCGCCGGGGTAACACAGGGAGCAAGCCGCGGCCGGACGGGGCGGGGCGCCGGGGGAGCGGGGCCGCGGCCGGACGGGGCGGGGCGCCGGGAGGGGGTGGGCTCTCCGCGGCTCCCGCGCCCAGACCGAGCCGCGCGCGCCCCCTCGTGGCCGCGGAGAACCCCGGCGCCGGGTGCCCGAGGAGCTGGAGCCTGGCGGAGCCCCGGTCGCTATGCGGAGGTGGGAATCAAACAGGAGGCGCTCGCAGTTTGCCGCGTTGTCAAACGGTGAGACCGGAGCAGGGGAGACCCAGGGAGATAGCTGGAAGATAGTTGGCCACTTGGGGAGGCAGAGGCACGATCAGGGCCCCAGAAGGGCGGGAACGAGGGACGTCTGGGGGCCTGCAGGCTGGCTCTTGCTCTGCGGGGTCACACGGTGTGGCCTGCGCCAGGTTGCACCCCCGTCTTCCTTGGGCTCCATTTCTCCGCCACACCAGACTCCAGGAGACGGAGAACCAGAGACTGGCGTGGGAGGCAGATGGGGGAGATTGAGACAACGGTCCTGGAGGGGAAATGAAAGGGGCTGGGGACGCTTAGCTAGACGAAGTAGGCCGGACACAGCTCTCAGTGGGGCCCAAAGGCTGGGTCTTCAGGCAAGTCACTTTCCTGGGCTGTGAAATGGGCACGATATAAGACCAGCACTGCCTCACCCCAGCAAGTAATCTCTGATGCCCACTGGAGTGTGAAAGTTCCACGTATGTCCTAAAATTCCGTCCTTTTCTCCAAGGTTTGTGGCTGCTGGGAGCTGGCTCAGTCTGAAACCTGAGGCTTTTAAAAATGGTACGGTGATAAAAGGGCAAAGGCCGGATGAGCCCTGACACTGTTTTCCCCAATATTTTATTATGAAAAATTTCCAACATAGAGAAGGATGGAAAGAATTTTACAGTGAACACCCATATAACCACCAACGTTGAATCTCAAGATGTTCCTGAGGGATAAGATGGAGAGAATAAGACAGTCTGATATCAACCCAAAGACAGATAAATGGGGCATCAAACAGAGAAGGCAGAAACTGACCCACACACACATAAACCTGGCTATGTCAGAGGAAGCATTGCAGTTGGGGAGAGGGGGAGAGGCAGTATTATGGCTTATTTGATAAATCGTGGTAAGACAATGGGTTAACCATAAGGGAAAAAAATGAAATTAGACCTCTACTGTGCATCGTACACAAAAAATCAATTTCATGTGGATTAAAGACCTAAATATGGAAAGTAATACTTTAAACATTTTTAGAAAGAAATATAGGAGAATATCTTGATTCCTTCAAGGTCAGGAGAGATTTCTTACTACATAAAAGCAGATTGTAAGGGAAAAGATTGAAAACATTCATCCACAATAAAATGAAAAACTTCTGCTAATCAAACATTGTAATCAAGTGGCAGGGAAAGCCACAATCTGGGAGAAGATATTTGCAACCAAATGATTCATATGCAGAATATACGAATACATAGATATGGGCTATAAGATACAAATAGGCATTTGACAAAAGAGGAAACAAGAATGTTCAATAAATATGAAAAGATGCTCAATCTAATCATTAATGAGGGAAATAGAAATTAAAATTGTATGAGAGATCAACTGGCAAAAATTGAAAAGTTTGACAGTGTCAAGTGTTGGTAGGGATTTTTAGCAATGGAAGCTACACACTGCTGATGGGTGTTCGGCCTGGTTGTACTGGTATAGTACAGCCACGTTGGAAACAATTTTACATCAAACAAAACCGAAGATGCACATTCTCAAGAATTCCACTCCTAGGTATATACTCTAGAACAGTGGTTCTCAACACAGACTGAACATGAAAATTATCTAAGAATCTTCTAACAAATACACCCAATCCCTACTCCAAATGAACTGAATCCTTATCTCTGGAGGTGGGGCCTTGTTGCTGGTAATGATAAAAAGCTTGCAGCCAGGTGACTCTAATGTGCAGTCCCGTCTGAGAACCATTCTCTGGACATATGCAGAGCAGCCCTGTTTGAAGAGTAAGAGACTGAAATCAGCCAACTCTCCATCATGAGGAGAAGAGATAAATTGTGGTATCTTCATGTGTAGAATACCATGCAATAGAGAAAAATGAATGAATTAGTTGTGTGTATCACCACAGATAATTCTAACAGAATGCTGAGGACAAACAGCAAGTCTCCAAATACATTCTATTTAAGCTCAAAAACATCTGGATTTATAAGATCAACACACAAAAATCAGTTGTGTTTCTATTCACCAGCAATGGGCAATCCTAAAAGGAAATTAAGACAGCAACTCCATTTACAATAGTATCCAAAAGAATAAAATACCCGGGAATAAATTTAAACAAGGAGGTGAAAGACATGTCCACTGAAAATTATAAAACATTGTTGAAATAGAGAAGACCTAAATAAATGGAAAGACATCCATGTTAATGAATTGGTAGACTTAGTATTATTAAGATGGCAATACTACCCAAAGCAATCTACAAATTCAATGCAATCTCTATCAAAATTCTGATGACCTTTTTTGAAGAAATGAAAAAACTCATCCTAAAATTCATATGGAATTGCAAGGGGCTCTGAATAGCCCGTATTGAAAAAAGAAGAATGCAGTTAGAAGACTCAGACTTCTTGATTTTAAAATATACCGCAGGGCCGGCCCTGTGGCTTGGTGGTTAAGTGCGCGCGCTGCAATGCTGGCGGCCCGGGTTCGGATCCCGGGTGCGCATCGAGGCACCACTTCTCCGTCCATCCTGGGGCCGAGTCCCACATGCCGCAACTAGAAGGATGTGCAGCTATGACATACAACTATCTGCTGGGGCTTTGGGGGGAAAAAATAAAATAAATAAAATCTTTAAAATATACCGCAAAGCTACAGTAATCAAAACAATGTGGTAAAGACAGACATATAGACAAATGGAATAGAATTGACAGTCCAGAAATAAACTCATATATCTATGGCCAACTGATTTTCAACAAGGGTGCCAAGACCATTCAGAGGGGTAAAGAACAGTCTCTTCAACAAATGCCGGGACAACTGGTATCCAGATGCAAAAGAATGAAGTTGGACCCCCTACCTCACACCATATACAAAAATTAACTCAAATTGGATCAACAGTGGGAATGTAAAATGGTGCAACTGCTGTGGAAAATAGTATGGTGGTTCCTCAAAAAATTAAACGTAGAATTACCATATGATCCAGCAATTCCACTTCTGGGTATATACCCAAAAGAACTGAAAGCAGGGACTTGAACAGATATTTGTACACCAATGTTCCTAGCAGCATTATGCACAATAGCCAAAGGTAGAGACAACCGAAATGCCCGTCAATGGATGACGGATAAGTCCATGTGATGGAATATTATGTAAGCCATAAATGTGAATGAAGCACTGACACATGCTACAACATGGGCAAACCTTGAACACATTATGCCGAGTGAAATAACCCAGACACAAAAGGCCACATATTACTGTATGATATATCCAGAATAGGTAAATCTGTAGAGACAGAAAGCAGATTGGTGGCTGTGGGGAAGGGGAAATGGTAGTGACCGCTTAATGGGTACAGAGTTTCCTTTTGGGGTGAGGAAATTGTTTTGGAACTAGATAGAGGTGCTAGTTGCACAACATTGTGAATGTACTAAATACCACTGAATTTTTTACTTTAAAATGGTTAATTTTTTTTTTAACAGTTTAATTTTATTTATTTATTTATTTTTTTCCCCCAAAGCCCCAGTAGATAGTTGTATGTCATAGCTGCACATCCTCCTAATTGCTGTATGTGGGACGCGGCCTCAGCATGGCCAGAGAAGCGGCGCGTCAGTGCGCGCCCGGGATCCGAACCCGGGCCGCCAGCAGCAGAGCGCATGCACTTAACCGCTAAGCCATGGGGCCGGCCCTAAAATGGTTAATTTTATGTTATGTGAATTTCACCTCAAGGGGAAAAAACATGCAGGACTGACTATATTTTTAAGGATGCATTCATTTGTAATAAAACTACAAAGAAGATCGAAGGAATGAGAAATAAAAGTTCAGTTCACCAGAGTGGGATGTAATCGGGGAGGGGCACCCAGGGGTGCCACTGGTATTGGTGGCGTTCTGCTTCTAAGTCACACGAGCGTTCATTATATCATTCTTTATTCTTTGTGTAAGTTACTAACATTCCTTTGTATGTAAGAAATCACTTTTTATAAGGTGCAAAATGCACTGTGGAGGGCCCTTGTTGTCCGTGGAGAATCTTGCTTCTCTGATTCTATGAATGTCCCAGCCCATTGTCAGCCCTGATGACAAGGTTGCGAGGAAACACCCTGTAATCAGCCAGGCTGTTGGCTCCGCTGTCTCCCTCCCAATTTCCGCTACTTGCTCCCTATCCCCCATCCCGCCCACCCAGGCAAGGAGTCCTCGCTGCCCTCCCAACACACACACACCAACCAGACTCATATCCTTGCTCACACCTGTCCCCAACCTAGAGTGCGTTTCTGCTTCCCCACAAATATTCAAATCTTAGCCTTCCATCAGTGGGAGGCGGACCACCACTGTAAACTTGGTGAGTCATCAGAGCCACCCTGTGGTCTGTCCTCCTGCGGGATAACCCATGGTTATCCTGGAAGAGACCAGCGCTTGGGGATGTAGTCTCAATGTGGGAGGATGTAGCCCAGCCCAGCCCTGCCTGGGCTCTCCTGCTGTTGCGTGGTGGGGGCAGGGTTGGGGGCAGGTGGAGGAGCAGTGAAGATCGAGCTGCTGCTGGAGGGAGTGGAAGCCCAGGAACAGGGCAGCAAAGGATGGGAGATTGAGTGCCTGGAGAGGCCCTGCTTGGAGCAGAGCATCTGAGGAGGAGGAGAGTGGAGGACCCCACGGGAAAGTGAGAAAGATAACATGAGTGGAGCCATATTAAAATAGAGCCACAGCAGCCATTTCAGAGGAATTTCCTTGCCTGTCTTGTTTTCTTATTTTTTTAAATTTTATTTATTTATTTTTTCCCCCAAAGCCCCAGTAGATAGTTGTATGTCATAGCTGCACATCCTTCTAGTTGTTGTACGTGGGACGCCGCCTCA